TCATAAGCTTACAACTGTCGTATACAATGAAGTAGGTATCGATTTTGTGCGCGTGTAATCGATAACCCTTCCAACACATTATGCAGACGGAGTCAGTAACATGATGACAGGAAATTTTCGGACAATACGGTCCCGCTCCCGACTGCCTTATGGTAGAACAATTTGATCTCGACCGACCTCCTGCTTTCGGACGTAGTCGTCTGGGAATCCTTGATCTAGCCTGTTTTGTGAAAGCGATCGAGGATCAATGGATGAAGACAAAAAAAAAGTCATGAAAATGTAGTGGAAGTGTGAAATTCTGTATATTTCAGTATCCAAACAACGAATTCACATTTGCTGCGAAGACGTTGGCCGATATGATTCCATGGGAGGAGATCGACGCAACCCTCTCCTGCTCGGTCAACGACGTGAAGGTGCCGGTCGCTCTCACCATTGAGCTACACATCGACATCCTGAAGAGCTACGGATTCAGGTTTGTTTTGAAACATCTAGATTTGCCTCAACCATGAAATTCAGGGTTATTCTTAGGGTCAATCGTTGATTGGTAGTCTATCAACGAGAGAGTCGTGCCTGGGGTTTTCGAAGGGCCGGAGCCGGGGTTAAATTTGGGAGAAGACTGAAAAAACTATAAAAGACACCATTTTGTGGCATATCTCAGTTTGGACGGATTTTGGGTGCAGGGTTGGAGTTTGTGGGGCCAAAATCGAATGCTATCAAAGCAGCCATGGTGATGTTGGTGGAGCAAGGGGGTCAGATGCCCCTCCCCCACTAGGGTCGTGTTCTTAGAATTGTTACGAACGTCTTAATTGACCTTGCTTATCGTTCTTAGAAGCCGCACGTCCCCTGTTTCCCACCCACAATCGTTTAGGCATTGGAATGAGTGTCCTGCCTACATTCCTGTAAGAATGGCAGATTGAAACGATCATAGACAGGAAGTTTGATCCAGTGGACCTTCACAACTCTTTATAGGCGCCGAGCTCGGTACGAATATTCGTTCATGGAGCCTTCAATCGAGACGGATATGGTTCTGATAGTAGAGAACAAGGAGCTCTTTGTGAACGCTACGGTACTTGGATTTCTTGAAATTTGTTACGGATAGCCTTTTAAATGACATTTCAGTATCTTTCAATGCTTTCACCGTTCTTCCGATCACTCCAGACCTCGTCACATCCCACGCTGTACGGAGAAATTCCAGTAAGTAGAGCTTGAAAAGTTTGGAAAGTTGTACGAAGTTGAAATACCAGTTTAGACAGAAACCATATCAGATGTCTCCGCAGAGGACTTTTTGGAACTTCTGAATGTGGTCTATCCATCTCAGAAACCCGTAACTGGTAAGAAACTGTTTTTGAGCCTCCAATAAATGTTCAACCGGTAAGCCTTACTAGAACAGGACTTCAAAGCTGTTTCAGTTGAAAATGTGGAAACGCTTCTGAAGCTGGGCGATCGCTACAGTTTCGAGTGTGTTCTGGTGAAATGCGAGAACTTCCTTATCACCACCAAAGCCGATGAAATTGATGTGTTCACACGCCTCGAATGGGCTAGCAAATACGCCATGGCTGATCTTCAGGTAAACAACACCTTTGGGTTGGGACATAATATCCCTACATATTTTTAATTTTTACCCATAAAAAGTTTACAGCAAAAAAATACACAAAACTATCCAGTGATAAGGATCTATTTAAGACTATGACTCCAGGAAATCATTGAATATGAAATAAAAATTGGCATAGGCCCGTTTTTGAAGCCCTAATTATTCTCAATTAGCACGCCATTGTTTAAAATTGAGGGACAAAAGATGGGGTCGACTTGAGTGAAGTTCGGATAGACGGAATTTGGAGAACTTTAGTTTTGACAGGTTTTTCTTCATGTAAACCAAATAATAGCAGCTGTCAGAATGCCGATTTCTGCCGTCCGATCTTTCCAACTGATAAGCACTACGTCTGAGTACAGTTATAATGGGAAATGAAAAGTAAGGTATTGTAGAACGGAAACAGTACTCTCTAATGATATACCCTCCCTTTCAAAAAACGAGAAGACCCTTGTGTGCGACCATACACCACATGTGTCGGGGCACCCAAGTAAATCTGATCAGTAATGGTTTCGTAGTGATAGCTGGACTTTCTGGTAAATAGATAGTGGGCATTAATGACAAGACTGAGTAGAATACAACGCAATAGCTAGTCGCTAGCCGTTAATTGCAGGAAGCATTTACATATTTGTGGAGTATTCGTCATCTGTGTGGTCTGCTGGCTTGCATCGCGACGCTCTTCTCCATTTTTGAAAGGAGTAACGAGTACAATAAAGACGGCTTAGTATATAGTCAGAGAGAGTCTTGCAATTGAATGAATTAACCCTTTGACGACCGCCGTTGTGCGTGCGTTGCTCCATTCCTTTTAAATTTTTTCATCAAATCCATCAAAACTCCAACAATTTCATTATTAGTAACGAGCACATTGTTTTGCGCTTCCGATAATGTATACGGGCAGCTTTAAAACATTCAAAAATGCCAAATAAATGACGAAAAACGAGTCGCCTTCGAGTGAAAGTGTGGCCCACCGGCGGGCCACACGGTCGTCAAAGGGTTAACCAAGACAACATTTGATGTTCGGATCATGTGTGCAGTAGCAGCGTCGCTTATCTTCGACTGGAAGCATGAATCTCGCAATTCACTCATGTCTGGATTACGCCAAAATTTGCAGATTACTACCATTTCAATGATACAATTTCATTTTCCTCGATTTCGTCTGCTGTAGCGGGCAAAGCGCAGCGGACTTACGCACTGTTCACCGAACCCTTTGCTATCGGTGATAGGCCATAAATCCGATGAATGGTTATGAGATATGTAAAAAACAGATAGCTTCATACAGGGGAGGTAGTACCTGAGACCCTCTGAAGGGGCGGTCGCAAAAGATTTGAGATTGCGCGGCGCCTTGGCTGAACTCCTCCTTCTCACCGTTTGACTGATAAATCTCTCGTAGCTTTTGCCTTTCTATGCTAAACTGATCTCCTTTTGCAGGATCACTGTGTGTCAAAGCTGACGAATGCTGCCGCTGTTGGTGCTGTGAAGAAAACGTTGCTTTACGGCACGCTATCGCACGAGACAAGGAAATTATTGCTTGAACTAATGCTTAAGTTCAGCAATATGTAGGAACTTATCCAGTCAAAGCCTTCTTGATCCGAAATTGGCGAGCATCAGAAAACCTTTGCTCGATGAATTTATTACTGAGCTATGATAGGAAATCAATCTGTCAAGCCTTTTTTTATTATACTAGCAGCAACTGAGGGAGGAAAATGCAAAATTAGATACATTTTTGAGAATTTCTCGGTACGAAACTATTAAGAAATTCGGAATGATTACTATATTTGTGATTCGGAATCTATGCCAAGAAATTTCCCCATCCCTTCTGCACTTGCTATGCCTGAATGATTCGTCCTTCACCATCTGCTGACACAAGTGAATTCAATGTGATTGTCTGTGATATTTTTTGTCGAGGTTTTTTGTAATATTATCAAGTATCAAGCAGTATCAAGTAGTATCAAGTATCAATGTGTCAAGTTTACTGTCTCACTTCACTTCTACTGCAATGCCAAACTAAAATTATGCTTGCTGTGCACTGCCTTTTTATATTTATTGTTTTCTTGTAATATTTATAATGACTTGAGCATTCTTCGTTGGTGCAAATTAGTCGGCCACGTTAGAATTCGAGCCTATTTGTAATTGTTTGGGCTATCATATAAACGAGCAAATTGAAATTTGATAAACATTAATCAACAAGTTTTGGTATGCGCCGCGCATTCGTGCTCCATTCGGAATCGTAGGAACAGTTGAATGTGCATTCAGCGAGAAAAGAGAACAGATTAGAAGTAGCTGTCACGATAATCTGATATTTGAAGAAAGATTCGAAATCAGCTACACACTCAAGCTTGCCCTTCATTGAAAGTGTAGGTAAAAGCACGGGTCGGAATCGATTTGAACCCAGAGTAATCCTATGTTGCGACAAGTACCAACGGGGGTGTCATATTTTGTTGAGTTTGTAGGTGGGGAGGGGTCGTATTCGATGTAATTAGAATTCATGGGTGAGTTTAGGGCGCGTAGTGTTAAGGAGAGGGTAGGAGCGGGAAACATTTTGCCATTTCACTGTACGTATAAACGGCTCCACTCGACGGCTGTTTTGGAAAAGTGGTCATTAAGTTTTTAATTGGAAGGGGGGAGGGGGGTCGTAAAAAATTTCCGAAAGTATGACCACGGCTTACGACAGACCTTGTTTGGACTGTGATTTTTTTATTTGGCAAAGAGTTCGATGAGGGAGAAAATGTAGGGAGAAATTGAAAAGCACCATAGAAAACATTGAAATTTCCCATCTAACAAGGGAAGTCTTTCAGGACATGGAGTGCTTGTTAAATGATTTTCTGCTGTTGTAGGGGCCCAAAGCAGGGTTGTGGGCGAGCACAGAATTGGTTCACTTTTTCCTTACGCGGCCCGGGAATGTGAAAGTTAGTGGTAAAGAAACGACCAGACGTAATTTTTGGCAAATATAGTCTTGCGCTGCCAAGTGGCGCCGTCGTCGAGAATAGATGTCATTGTTTCGTACTCTGCGGGCGTTGGAGGCGCCAATATAAAATTGGCAAAAATTCGTTCATCAGGGGAACTTTGAACATTTCTTACCACTTTTTGACATTCAGGGCGGTTCCCGGAGAATGCTACCATGCTCTGTGCTCCTCCATGAGCCTCTTACAATATTCAGATTAACAATTGAAAAAAAAACGCTTAGAATGTCCTGGAAGTCCACCGTAAGAGTCGGTGTTACGCAGACGACCCACAACGCGCGAGGAGCGGAAGCACTACGAAAGGGCCTCAAATCGTCAGCTATGCATGGATTGACAAGGATGAGAACCTGGCAAGGGCAAGGCCAAGAGCTTTATCTACCTTGCACGCACTTTTGAGTGGTGCAGCATGTAAGGACTGTCTTTGTAAATTCCGCGTCACTTCTAGGAGGCACCTCTTCACAATTTATATCGTCAGCACTCGGTGCCTCTTCCTAGCTTTAAGGTTTGGTTGAATGTTATCGACGTTCGTGTCTTCTACACACCTCAAGACTATCTTCTTACAAGCCGGTCTTAACATTGGGTGAATTAACGACCCAATGCAGGCGGCCTTCTTAGCTTCCTTGTCCACCCACGTATCATGGTCACACCAGAGGTCCCGTTCATAATTTCTTCGCTATTTCTCATTGTTTTTCATTCATTGCTGCATCTTTTGATACCTTTTCTTCCATTTTATTGGAGCCACGAATTATTCATGGCCAGTGAAATAGATAGCCAGATTTCAACGCGTTTGCAGTTGGATCACGATCCATAGGAAATGAAAATTGTTCAGGGCGACCACGAACTCGTCGGAACTGTCTCTAGCTGGACCAGCCTGCATTGGCGTATGTACGGCTTCCAGTAACTTGGGTTATGCGATTTAAATGTGCTTTGTTTTGTAGCATACATTATATACCATATAATGCAAGGGCGGAAGTGGTGTAGTGACAAGTGGCGCGCTTACCACGCGAGCGGTCCGGGGATCAAATCCTGGGTCGTGAGTCGCCCGGGCCAACCAAGCCTTCCATCCCTCCGGGGTCGGTTAATTGGTACCAGACTTGTCTGGGAGGATAAAAACACTGACTTGTACATCGGCTGGCCCCCGCAAGTCATTGTATAGGCCACATCGCATTCAAACGCCACTACGAATGTACAAATGGAAGTAGAATGCGTGCCGCATCCCAAAAAGGGATTGATCAACGGCAAATGCTTTATCCTTTTATCCTTTACATGTGCCATGAAAATGTTCCCAAGTCAAAGTTCCCTGCAGCTATTCAAAAACATGTGTCTATGATTTGTTGATAACCTGCTTATCTTGCAGCTTCCAAGCAGTACTTAACCATTGTTCGCCTCCCTTCTGATGTGTATTTTTTATGTGCTCGTAATCTTTCGGAGTAGGTGTCAGCTAAACTGCGCCACAACGAATCTCCAAAACACAACAAACCGGTTTGCTCGGCCGTCGTGTTCGATTATTGCACGCCCCCACCTTCCCCCACCTTCCGAATCTGTACAGGGAAAGTACAGGGGGTACCCCCAGGAGGCCCATCGCGCGGCAAGAAGGCAGAGTCGCGGACGAGTCGCGGCGCGTGATGTGCGATGTAAGGACGTGCAATGGGACATTCTATTTAACTTGACGCGAAATCCCTATAGTACGCGCGGAACTCGTCCGCTGACTCGGCCTTCTTGTCGCGCGACGGGCCTCCTGGGGGGTACCCAGGAAGCCTTGTAGAAGTAGTCGTAAGTTCCCTTCATCGAGCCGCAAGTTCGTAAACTGGCCTAGAATCGCACGCGTTGCTAGAATTCTACGCACTACAGCTGCTATTTATTTCTCTGGGCGGAAGTGGTGTAGTGACAAGTGGCGCGCTTACCACGCGAGCGGTCCGGGGATCAAATCCTGGGTCGTGAGTCGCCCGGGCCAACCAAGCCTTCCATCCCTCCGGGGTCGGTTAATTGGTACCAGACTTGTCTGGGAGGATAAAAACACTGACTTGAACATCGGCTGGCCCCCGCAAGTCATTGTATAGGCCACATCGCATTCAAACGCCACTGCGAATGTACAAATGGAAGTAGAATGCGTGCCGCATCCCAAAAAGGGATTGATCAACGGCAAATGCTTTATCCTTATCCTTTATCCTTTTATTATTGACAACCTGTTGGGAATTTAAGGGTATTCACTCAAAGCGAACGACCTTTGGGTAAGGCAAATTTCTCCATACTTGGACTCGGCAGGTAACTCTCAAAGCAACTCGGTCTTAAGTATGTCTTCGGGTTCAGTCTTTTTGTTTGCCACATGGATTTTTTTCTATGGTCGCTGCGATTATCCGACGCAGGTGCCGGAAAATCACCTTGCTCCCTGAATCAAGAAGGGAAAAATTCAATCACGAAAGCCACTAAGAAAAGAAAAAAGCAGCTCATTTCATGGCACGGAGACAAGATTGCTATGTCAAGGAAACTTGCTTAAGCTGACGAATACCGATGCAGCGTCCAAGAGCATTCTGTGGACCTTATGACGAAGTCAAGTGGATTTAACCCTTCCGTTTATAGAATAAAGCGACCTGCAAATGTAGCAGATGTGCCGCTCTCGCAGCTCGAAAGTACACGACAAGAGCCGCTGTCCGCTGCTTTCTGGCCACTATGCAACGGCCTGTGCAGCGGCGTATCTGCGTCCCTCACGTCCGCTATGCTCTTTCGTCCGCCCGTCTTCCTCGCATGTTCTCTCACAATAGTGTATGCTGTCTCCCAGGCCGTTTGTGAATACGGCAGTCACGAGAGAGAAGAATGTTGTTAAGGATATCAATTTTGGCGTTTCTTTTCTCTTTTGCTTTACTTCGCATCTTTACATTCATTTCCAGCGAAATAGCCGGACTCATGCACTTCCTCTGATCGACAGATCCCTAGGAAGTGCCCTCAACAATAGAGGAGCTATCAGAGAGGGTTCCATTATAACGGCATTCATGTGTCATGAGGCTCCAGCTCCACACACTCTTTTTTGAAAATTACAACGTACAAAACAGGTTTGGGCACTTTTTGCACATGAAGTCGATCTTTGGCATGCAGCTCGAAGCCAGGTGGATGCCAATGATATGCCGGCGCTTCCTGATTCTTTCATGGAACATAAATAAAACAGGAACTTTGAAAGCAATCAAGAAAACCGGTTCTCGCGAAGCATTGTGCTAGCCACATCCGATCACAACTTCTACTCGGTACTCGATGAAAGTCGAATGCATGGCGCGTGCAAATATGGAGCCTGTGATCAGCGACCATTCCTTTTATTTTAATATAAAATTTTTTTGCTAAAAGCCAAATAGGAAAGGGTTTTTCGACAGGGTGGGGAGACCGGAGAGGGGCTCTTTGTAGTACCCCCAAAACCGTAATTACTGTCAGCACTATACCATCCAGCCTATATACCCTATATTCTCCTGAAGTATGAAATAAACAACTTCAATTCTGACCTATTTGTTTATTTTAAAATTCAGTGCTATT